ATATGGTGCCCTGAGCACTGCCAGGAGTAATTCCTGAGTGCATGAGCCAGGAGTAACCCCTGTGCAAAGCCGGGTGTGACCCAAAAAGCAATATATATATATATATATAGAGAGAGAGAGAGAGAGAGAGAGAGAGAGAGAGACTTTAAAAAAAAAACTAGAGAACAATATTTTTTCTCATACTAATGAAAAAATAAGCCCAGACAGTTAAGTCAGTTACCCAAACCTTATATCTATTATCCTGTTTTATTTCCAAAATAGTGGCTAAAAAACCTCTGTGAATCTCTCACAGACTCACAATTAATCTTAAATCTTTTATTTTTATCAGCTTTAAAACAACATGCACTCAATGGTAAACATGAGCTTCATCATTTTAAAATGGTATGAACATGGTTGTACCTCGTGGTTAGAGACAAAGATAGCCAGTAAGACTCAAAACACTTACTGGTCTCTATTTATGCCTGTAGCTTCTTAAAGAGCTGTGATATGTATGATTTTAAGAACAAGTTTGGACTCTGTGAGAAAGTGTGCTATGTACACTATGGGTGATAGAGAAATGGTGGGAGACTTTTATAGAGGAGAGAGTCTCTTAGAACTCAGAAATATTTTCTGAAAGAGTTTATACTAATACCTGTCGGAGTAATAGCACAGAGATAGGGCGTTTTCCTTGTATGCGACTGACCCAGGTTCAATTCCTCCGCCCCTCTCCAAGAGCCTGGTAAGCCACCAAGAGTATCCCGCCTGCATGGCAGAGCCTGGCAAGCTCCCCGTGGTGTATTCAATATGCCAAAAACAGTAACAACAAGTGTTGCAATGGAGATGTTATTGCTGCCCGCTTGAGCAAATCGATAAACAATGGGAGGACACTGCTACAGTGCTACTTACATCGGTTTCATAAATTATTTAAAATGTTATTATTTGTCATGTATGTTTTCATGAATAAAGAGAACATTTTAAAACCTCTCTCTCTTGAAGTTAAAGAAGTGTTCTTGGGGGTATGATGCCACCAACAGTTCAACTGTACCTGTGGGGCAAGTGCATCAGCAGCCTGATTTTGCCTTCAGTCTTCCTGACATCCCCAAATTGCTGTGTGCCTTTGGTTGGACCCCAACAACTTGGGACCAAGTTTACCAAGAAATCAAATGGCCAAAATTTTGGTATGTGGGAGCCATGCCCATAAACTACCTCTGGCTCAGCTATACAAGCTCATTTATTGGCCTTATTTTAGAGACCCATAGATAAATCTTGAAAGAGACCAAAAGCCACAGTTATAAACTCAGATCCATGCATGGCTGAACAGACTGGGGTAAATTGGAGGGGCGCAGATTGGCTTGCCCCTGCCCAAGCAGAGCCCCCAGCAGCTGCTTGCTTCCATAATCTGAAATTGCCGCCATACCCCCGGCCTGATTCCACCATCTCAGGATGGACCTCACCAAGATGTAATCTGCTGAAAATTTGGTATGGGGATTTTGTGACTGAAATCTCCAGGCTTTCATGGAGTTGGGGTGGGCTACCTCCCCCTACTTCCTAATACACATGGAAGCACTGGCCGTCACCCCCATGAACCAACTCCAGTGATCAAAAGCCAGAGACATAGCAGCGAGTCCCAGAAGACACCACAGAATCAGATCTCTCTGGACCCCATATTGAGCCAATTTCACTGGTACACCCCAGATGGAGCAGGTGCAGTCTCCCTGCCTACTCCAAATGGAATCCTGGTGACCAAGAACTTCCACAAGCAAGGCCCAGGTATGCGGGTTCCAGGATTAAATCTCCATGCTGCATGGCGGCAGAGGCACTGGGCTGTCCCTTCCCAGCTTCCCGCCCACTCATCAGCCTGGCTGTCAGCCCACAATGTGCCTCTGGCCGCCATCTTAGCACACCAACAACCCTGGTCCAGAGACACAACAATGAGTCCCAGAAGACACCACAGAGTTGGAGATCTCTCCAGGCCCCATACTGAGCCAATTTCCTTGGGGCACTCCAGGTGGAGGAGGTGCAGTCTCCCTGCCTACTCTAGATGGAATACCAGTGACCAAGAGCTTCAGCAAGCAAGGCCCAGTTATGAGGGTTCCAGGACTAAATCTCCATGCTGCATGGTTGCAGAGGTGCCGGGCTATCCCATCCTTCCCCTGCTCCACGTCCACTCATCGGCCTGGCTGTCACACCCATAATGTGCCTCCAGGTGCCATCTTAGTGCACCATCAGCCCTGGTCCAGAGATACCCAATTGAATCCCAAAATGGATTAATGCCTATAGAGATGTCTCCGGAACCCAACTATTTACAATCTAGGATTCCAGAAGCTTGTGGCTGCGGCACCCAAGGTTTCCGAAATGAGCAATGGACAATAAATGATCAGCATCTGCCCCTGACAGGCAGGTTTGAGTGGTAGTAGGAAAATTTGAGCAAAATATAATGCCCAAAAGTAGAAAGAGAGTATTGGGGAAATTGCCTGCCATGGAGGCAAGGTGAGGACTGGGATGGGTAAGGGATATACTGGGCAACTGGTGGTGGAAAGTGTGCACTGGTGGAAGGATGGGTGTTTGATCATTGTATGGCTGAATCTCGAACATGAAAACTTTGTAACTGTATACATCTCACAGTGATAAAAAAAAAGTAATGTGGAGTTTATGTCCATTTCAATCAGTTTAATTAGTGACTGAATAAATAGCTGTACTCTTACATTAAAAAAAAAGTGTTCTACCTCAGAGACTGGCCCACATTCAAAAGAACAAAAGCAACCGATGCTGGCGTGGATGTGGCGAGAAAGGGACACTCCTTCACTGTTGGTGGGGATGTCCACTGGTTCAGCCCTTCTGGAAAACAGTATGGACGATTCTCAAAAAATTAGAAATTGAGCTCCCATTTGACCCAGCAATACCACTCCTGGGAATATATCCCAGAGAGGCAAAAATGTATAGTCGAAGTGACATCTGCACTTGTTTGTTCATTGCAGCACTCTTTACAATAGCCAGAAACTGGAAGAAACCTGAATGCCCAAGAACAGATGACTGGTTAAAGAAACTTTGGTACATCTACACAATGGAGTACTATGTAGCTGTTAGAAAAGATGAAGTCATGAAATTTACATACAAGTGGTACAATATGGAAAGTATCATGCTAAGCGAAATGAGTCAGAAAGAGAGGGATAGACATAGAAAGATTGCATTCATCTGGGGGATATAAAGTAACAAAGTATGAGATTAATACCCAAGAATAGCTGAGATCAGCACCAGGAGGATTACTCCATAACTTAGAGGCCAGCCGGGTATCCTAGAGGAAAGGGCAGTTCAGATAGAGAAGGGAGCACCAAATAAAGGATGTTTGGAGGATCCTCCCAGGAGGGGAGATGCATGTCGAAAGTAGACTATGGACTGAACATGTTTGCCACTCAATGCCTCTTTTGCAGACCACAACACCCAAAAGGAGAGAAATAACACAGGGGATTGCCCTGCCACAGAGACAGGGGGGATGGGGGGATGGGGGTGGGAGGGATATTATCCATGGTGGTGGAAAATGGGCACTGGTGGAGGGATGGGTATCTGATCATTGTATAATTGAAACCAAAGCACAAAAAATTGTAAATCTACAACTGTAAAAAAAATAAAATAAAATAAAGGGAAAAAAAAAAGAAGCTGATGAGGATATATTTCCAGCCAATGTTTGGCCCTTCCATTCAAAGTTAATGTCATAGTCTTATTATGTTACTTTTAAATGGTCACTGCTTTTACAAAATGGGAGCTTACAATAAAAACTCATTTTAAAGCTTAAAAAAAAAGTGTTCTTCGGGGCTGGAGAGATAGCACAGCGGGTAGGGCATTTGCCTTGCACGCGGCCGACCCGGGTTCAATTCCCAGCATCACATATGGTCCCCTAAGTACCACCAGGAGTGACTCCTGAGTGCAGAGCCAGGAGTAACCCCTGTGCATCGCCTGGTGTGACGCAAAAAAAAAAAGTATTCTTCTTAAAGTACTTTAAGTGTTTTTATTTTTAACTATAAATGGTTAAACAAAATAGTTATTGCTTCTTGTTAGAATTTTTATGAAATCAAGCTTTGTAGTTTTATCTGAAAACTAGAAGACTATGTCATACATGATACACATATAGAACACATTTATTACATACATTTATTACATTATTATATTTATATTAACACATAATAAAATCAATAATTTATATAATTTTTATTATATATGAATTATGAGTAGTCAAAGCTAATGATCTCTGTATTATTCAATGTAATATATGTAATCATAGTTCAAGATCTGCAGATATTTTAAATCAGTGGCTGCTATTTATTGGGTGGTTGCCATTTATTATCTCTGCCTGTGGGAGCTATTCATCTAGTCATAGACATTGGGGCCTTACATCTTCCTTTTCCCTCTCCCTAAGCTTTGCAATACTTTTAAGCAGGACTTGACTGTTTTATTTTAAACAATAAAGAACAACACCCAGGGGAAGTCTAACAATAATCACAGATAATAATAAGATTGTGAAATTAGAATTTATGCCATTTTTTTTCAGGTTTCAAGTATTTTCTAAATAAAATTAGACCATGTCTAGTTTAAGTTTAGGGCAGAAATATTTCTCAGTGATAGTCTATGTTCACAAAATCTCATGACGCTCTGGACGTTAGTTTCATGGTTTTACGTATTATTCAGCTTCAGAAAGGAAAGTGAAGCATCCTAATGGAGAAGTATTGTTCCCCACTATTTTCCAGTTGTGATGTCAATGAGTTATTTTTATGTAAATGATAACTTTTTGGGTGTGGTCCAATAAACACTGCTATGGGTTGAGAGAAATTATTTTAATTGAGACAAAAACCTCCCTGAAGAGTTGTTGTTGGGGGAAGAAATAAATGAATTTGTTTAAGTGTTATTTCTGCACTTGTTTAGTAAAGAAAAAATATCTTGCATTTTGGCAAATATTATCTTATCAGCAGATACATGCAGAGTGGTCATAAAGTAATTGAGAATGTCATTTGTTTTTTTTTTTCTAGATTCCTTGGTGTGACTCAATTTTCACCTATACATGCCAGAAAGGCATTTCCTTGTTTTGATGAACCCATCTACAAGGCTACTTTCAAAATCAGCATCAAGCATCAAGCAACCTATTTGTCTTTATCCAATATGCCAGTGGAAACTTCTGTGTTTGAGGAAGATGGATGGGTTACAGATCACTTTTCACAGACCCCTCTCATGTCTACATATTATTTAGCCTGGGCAATTTGCAACTTCACATTCAGAGAAACCATCACCAAGAGTGGGGTTATAGTAAGTATTTTAAGCTTAATGATGTTTTTGGAGAATATGCACTCTGTAAACTAATCTGATTTCTGAGTTAATAATCAATGATTTATATATTACTCACATAGCATATAGCTGATTTTCATCCCTTAACCCTTGAAGTTAACGTTCTAATTTAAAAGTCAGAGAGGAAAGACTTTTCTATACCCAGCCCTCTTATTCATTTAAACTCTTCCTATTCTCAGCCCTCTTCATCTTCTGAGTGTCTCTGAAAGAGCTGCTGCTTGTTTTGTTAAGTTACCTGACTTTATTTATAAAACTTGGAAAACTGCTTTTTACTTTGAAATATTTCATATATACAGCAAATTTAGAGAATAATAAAATAAATTCCATGTACAATATACTTAACATTGTAGTATCTAAACATTTTTTAAAATCATACTTGCCTCAGTTTAGATTTTGAGACAGTAAAAACATATTGGTCTAGTTGAAACCCTATGTGTACATCTATCGGATTATATTGCCTTGATCATCTCCTAATAATTATAGTTATGAGTTTGATAACTTGTTATTTTCCTCCATATTATCATATAATTATGTAGCACGTATATATCTATTGAAAATGCATGCCACTTGAACATTTCTTACAAATGGTATTGTATATTGTTCTGAATATTAATTTCACTCTTCTTGATAACAACTATTTGTTTTTACTTTGGTATTCTGAGTTCTTTTTGTATGCCATTGCAGTGTGTTAGTCAGACTATCTCTGGCCATGTTGGATAACAGATTCCTTCTCATTTCAATGGCTTTCACAATAAATATGCACAATTTTTTATGTCAATCTTTAAAGCAAGGTTTTATGGTTCTACTTTTCCAAACAAGTAAACTAAGTTTAGAACTTTTCAAGGGTCAAAGAAGTGAGACAGTTGAAAGAATTGTAGGTAAAACTTTTTTGTTGATCTGTTCCCAAATTTTAGACTTATACAGTGCCTCAATAGTTCTGGACTTACCAGTTTGCCTTTTTATCTGTGTGTTTTTTTCTCTTTTTTGGTCATACCCAGGAGTGCTTAGGGGCTGACTTTTGGCTCTGCACTCAGGGATCAGTCTTGCAGCCTCAGTGGACTATATGGAATTCAATCCTAGCAGGCTTGGGGAACATATAGGATGCCGGGGATTGATCCCAGTTTGGCTGTGTGTAAAGCAAGCATACTATCCACTGTATTATCACTCTGGCCCGTCATCTGTGTGTCTTTAAGAGCATTCAGGAGCTGGAAATTAGAGCACAAGCTCTGCATGCAGGAGCCCTGGGTTTGATCCCAGCACTGTGTGGTCCCCATAAAACTGTCACAACTAATGCCCAAGTACTAGATTGGAATGTATCTCCCAAGAACTGTGAGGAGTGGTACTCAGACAAAACAAAACAAAAAAGAGGTTGCAAGTCATTATTCCTTTCATCCAATGACCATTGTAGTTAGTGTTGCTTTAGCATAGCAAATGAAGTAAATAGTATATATATAGTATATATATAATATATAGTATATGTAATAGTATATGTCTTATCCTATAGTAATTTTATGACTTTCCAGTAGCCTAATTTTGGAAAAATAAGTTTGCCTACATTTTTTTGCAGTTTTCAGTTTAAATCATTATAGAACTTATCTAAAAAATGTTTTCCTCTGTACAAAATTAATGCCACTATTAAAGAAATGTGTATAGTGGCTTCACCTATGTAATTAAATGTCTGTAAAGGATAAGATGGTTATTGCAGTCTTTTAGACTTAAAAACATGTTTAATTCCTTTGATGTATATTGTTGTTGCTTTCTCCTATGAATATTTCAGTATTGTATGCATTGAGCCATGTAAGGAAACAAGACTTCATTCCTTTTTACATCTTCAGAGGTTGTTAATTGACTTACTGTGGGGTCCTTTAGTACATGGGATAAACTGATATGTTTCTCCCAGTACATTTTCTTTAGGTTATTTTCGTATTATCAGCTCTACCCAATCATTCTTATTGCTGAGTGACCCATGTTTAAAACCAAATGCACTTTGATCACTTAGATGTGATATTTCATTAACATTAAGACACCAAGTGATTAGTAAACATTTAAAATTCCTTTTAAATAATTTTAATGTGGGAAAGATAAAACATTCTATCAGAAAATATCAAAAGGTCAACTGAAATAAAATTTTAGATTACATGTGCTAAAAACATTAAGATTAATAAAAAAATTAAAATCTCCATTATCAACTATGGAATTATAACCTGGCTCTCCTTTTCTGTCATCTCCTAGAAATCCAATATATTTTCACTTACTTTCAGACTCTTACTTATTAGAAAAACCTGGGAATGAAATTTCTGAATTCTTTTTTAGACTGTATTATTTTTTTACTTGTTAGAACATATATATATTTAAAATTTTTTTGTATTAAATCACTGAGACAGTTATAAAGTTGTCCATGAACTTTAGTCAGACAATGTTCCAACACCTATCTCTACACCAGTGTACATTTCCTACCATCCATGTCCTCAGTTTCCCTCTTTTAACCTTCTGCCCCCCCCCCCCCAGTCTGTATCTATGGGAGACACTTTTCCTCTTTTCCTCACTCACTCTCTCTCTCCCCCCCCCCCTCTGTAATTATAGTTTGTGGTACTGAACAATAACTTTAATCTGTTGTATATCATATCTAAGACCAGTCACAGTGATTGTGTGTGCATTTGCCCTTTTGTTTTGTTTTGGGCCACACCCAGTGGTGTTCACTCAGGTCTGTGCTCCAGGGTTACTCCTGGTGGTGCTCAGAGGTTCCTGTCCTGCCCAGGATCAGCCCAGACTTCCCACATGCAAGGCAGGCTCAGACTGCAGTGCATGTGCTTTTGACACAAGAGGTCAGCTTTGTCTGCAAGGGAGCTACAAAGAGAGAGTTATCTTCAACCATGTGGGTGTGAGCCTGGTGGAGGGAATTCAGGAGAATGAGGGATGGGTTTATGCAATGGTGGTGATCACAATAATAAACAAGGTAAGGGGGACACAGATTCTGGGGACTAAGAAAGGAGCAAAGGATTGTAGGATCGTTCCAGTAGCATCGGACATCTTAAGATGGTGGCAGAGGGAATGAGCTGGAAAGATAGGAGCTGGTTGTCAGAGAAAGCTCCACTTGAAAGGATAATTTTGGAGGAGATGGCCATCTTGTCTCAGCGAAACTGGAGGTTCACAATCTTCCTTTCTTATTTGAATCACTTGGAGAGCTTTTATTATTTAAACAAACAAAAAAAGATTGATTTTCCTTTTCCCGAAGCCTGCAGTGCTTTGGAGCTACTCTCCGTGGCGTGCTGTGGACTGAACTGGTGGGGGCTGAGGGGAATATGATGAATAAGATTCCTACTGTCTAATACTCCCAACAACCTGGTTGAGTTCATACTATAGCCAGAGCGAAGGCATCAGAATCAAACCCCACCTGGGGCCTGCGCAGGTCATGCCAATGTGAGGCCCAGTGCAGGGGATTGTGACAATTTCATACCAGGAGGGAGAATCTAATTCTATTTAAGGAGGCGTCAGGTCAGCAGCACTTGCGTTTCTGGATTCCAAAGGCAGTTTGGGCCCGGGTCTCTGCCGGCCGGGATGCTACTGGTCTGCTGGTTCTCTCCAGCCACAGGCCTAGGCCGATGGGGGTGCTCCAGAGCCTGCCCAAGATTGTCCCCTTCGCAAAGGTGAGGGTTCCAGCTTAGCCTGTGGACTTCACATTCCAGCACCAAGTGTGAAGTTAGCAGCTTCTCAAATGGTGAGTCCCCAGCGCCGACACTCTTCTCTATCTGCTGTCTGGCCTTTTGTGCTGCTTCTGTGGTTGTATTTGTTACGTGGGGCATTGCTCTGTTCTATCACTGTGCTCTTCTGCCTCTGCTTTGGATGTTCTTTGCTTTCTTTGACACCCCTACCCCCTCCACCTTGCCCAGCCTAGTCTCATTCTTGCCCCCAACCCTTTTCTCTCATTTGTGCATCACTTGTGGCCCCCTTGAAATATCCTGGCACCCCAGAGGTTTTATTTTCACCCACCCACTGGACAAGCTGCTGTAAAGTATGAACTGGGATCTGAACAGAGCAGAGGAAATAGGCTTGCCAGGGAGAGGTGGTCAGCGAACTGAAATAACAGAATTGCAGGGGTTATTTTCATAAATTTCCAGTTAACCAGGAGTCAGGGTTCAAACAAGGTGTACAAAACGATGCTGGAGAGACAGCATGGTCACCCTCCAGAGATGTGGGGAGGGCCCAGGTGGCATTATCTGATAGTGAAGTTTCCAAGGTGTGTGTGGGGGGCGGGGAGGGGAGGATGGGGGTGGTTCCCTGTGTGGATGCTCTAAGGGCATCTTCAACCGTTTGCACTTATACCTCATTTCACCACCCCTCCAAACACACATGGGCAAGAGTGTTCAGAAACACCCCACCGAATGGGTCTTCCCTTTGGGTGGTAGAACTATATCCAGTGCTTCTCGGGGTTCACTATGGACTGTTCTCAGGGTACCAGTCTTATGTGGTGCGGGGGCTTGAACCCAGGTCTGTTCTGTGGAGAACAAGCACGTAGACCTCCACACTAACTTTCTGGCCCCTGCCACAGCTTTATCTCACACATTCAGTCAATGTCTGCATGGAGTCCAACCTGGGGTTTAAGAAGCTGGGATCTAGGCCACATACAGCTGAGCATGGAGGGAAAGTCACTAGTCTGTGGCTGAGCCTTACGTCCCCCATGATCTCAGCAGGCACAGGGATTCTCTTCTGGAAGCTTCCTTGCCATTTGACTTGAGTCATTGTTTTGTCGTCCAGGAGAGCAATTGCGTTTTAATCCAGGTATAAAAGGTGAGGCCCAGTTGGGGCCTGGAGGGCAGCTGCAGCCAATAATGGTAGGACTGGGCCAACTCCTGGGGTGGACATCATCTCCCGCCCATCCAGCCTCAACTCGCTATTAGGTACACCACCTATTCTGCACCTCCCCTCCCCCCATGCTTTCCAAATGCTCATTATTAGAGCAT